TCCCTCATTTATGATGTTCTTCGAAGAATTTTCAGCAAACTTGTGAGTAGTTTTCGTTATGAGGAGCCGTGTTTACTTTTTCGGATTTCCCCGTTTGATTGAGGATTGGCAGAGTTGCGCGCTGCAAACAGTCGCATCGGCCCAGAGGCACCGCTAGTTACGCAGCTGAGCCACGTCTATTTTCCCTCAACAACCCCTCCTAAGAGATCTAATACAGAAAGATCACTTGCTTAAGCCACTGGGTTTCCTAACCAGAACTTCTATACTTAACGAGATCACTTCTGCCGAGCTCCTCGCTAAAATAATGTAATTCGTTGGAGCAGACGGTTCTACAAAATGTTAATTATGAGTCCCAGGTAATGTATCCCATATGTTGCGATCGGTATGTCTGCCTTTCGAAAGTTACTACTTCTTTCGCATGATATAACTCAGCTGATCCGACGTTCCCGTCAGCTGCAGGCCAGACACTGAGAGACTGAAAGCTAACCAGTGAATTTATTCATGCACCTACATGCTTTCCGTGAGAGGCACTCCGATGCCACATAGAAGCAACAATTATCGAAGACCGGAAAATATTTCCACCCTACCCGGTCCCAAATCACCGCTGGGTATGAAATTTTCCGAGCGGATGAGTTTAGCTTATTGGATTATTGACTTTGACAGCCAAATATTTGGATTTGAAATTATCTGGTCCATTTAACACTGTACACTTCACATGTGTGAGGCTCAGATCAGGGTGTATGATGAACTATAGAGGTCTCCCGTGAAAACCAAATTGATTTGCAAATTAGTGTATTTCTCGAGAACAGTGCAATTTGGGTTCAAGTAGATCATAAGGTTGACGGAAACTCGGGGACTGCGCCTACCTGATAAGCCCAAAGTGGAAGGGCAAAACCGGTGGTGGGCTGTCGAAGAGTTTTCAACAGCCTTGTGAGTAGTTTCCTTTATGAAAACTATAGAGGTCATTTAACGCGGTTGGCGTTTCTGCTGGAGCTGGCCCAAGTAGTGTGCTAAAGCCGAGATATTCAACTCACGTGAGAAAACACCAGATGACCTTTCAAGCCTTGAGGTGACAGAGACAGTTGAGGTGATTGCAGGCACTTCATCAGCGACATCGTCCAACAGGAATGGCGAGTAATTGCGGACGTTAATTGTTTTGGCGAATCCAAGTGATATTTGCGCTAGTTGTCAATTTGTCGAAATATAGGTAGCTCGGGTGTGTTTACTGGTGGCTGATCGGATGCCAGTTGATCTGTTCGCCGAGCTTAGCAGTTGGCTCGCAAACGTTCCGGCCCCTTGTCGAGGAGACATCGTCAGTGCGCAGTTGAATGCGCACCAACAACTGCGCACTGACGATGTCTCCTCGACTGGAGACGAAACGTTTGCAAGCCAATTGCCAAGCTCGGCGAACAGATCAACTGCCATCTGATCAGCCACCAATTTGCGCTAGTTCCCCGAGCATCATTGAACGATGGTTCACAGAAAAATCAACAGAGAGAACCTAGAGAACCTGGTCGAAATCACCTGTGTATCACGAAAACTATCATGTTTGGTTAATAAAACAACTGGTCCGCAAATGCAATCACAGTTTTTTCAGCATTTGTAAAAGTTATAATCAGAGTAGTATCCAGTGTTCATTTCGACATATCGTAGAGTTCGAACGAGCAACCCAAAACAGAGCTCCCTCGCTTTCTCATCCTTTCCTCAGATGGACAGTATCACATTTTCTGTGCCTTTCCACTTTTTTCTCTGAGCTCCAATTAGCGTTGTTAAGTTAAATCCAGTAAATTGATGGAGTGGACTGACCTGCGTCGGTATGCGGTAGTATAAAAGCAAACAAGCTGATATACTCGCGCAATCGCATGGTTGAAATCAAGCTTTTCTCCATAGAAGGAAGTAAAATGTAGAATTAGATCTGCTAACTGGCGAATGTGGGCTGTAGACAGAATGGTCTGAGCGTTTGTGCTGAAAATCCTCACATACTAAGAACAAACGATGTTCGTCACGTGACTGGGGGAATCGCTCTCCGTGATCATCAACGTTAGGCCTGAATTCGAAGTCGATCAGGCTCAGATGGCTAGCGTTGACATTCATATCACCTACCAGCCGTTCAGTACTGACGCATGGTTTTCGGTGTTCCAGATATCAAAGAAAACATGACTAGATATCTTTCTCGGTCTAAGAGTTGCGTTTTTTTAACATACATAAGCAAGATAGTCACTACCAAGCGAATCAGTCAGCATTACGACACAAGGACAACTGGTTGCAAGGATCCAGTCCCATAATGCGCTTTCAGGTCTAGAACAATACACCGGGATGACCATCAACTCTAATTGTGATATGTGTGATATCCGGGTTCGTCGCGAGCTACCTGAAATGCACGGAGGAAACGAATTTGGTTACATTTTGAAGGCATAAAATGCCAGTAGAAAATGGGAGTAAAATTAACCAACGGATTCTTGTTGAGTAATTTAACACAGGACACTAGAAACTACAGTATGAAACGGACCTATTAAATTTAGCAAAGGTTTTTTCATAAAGGAAACTACTCACAAGGTTGCTGCCACGACCAGTTTCGCCCTTCTTGGGGCTCATCAAGTAGATCATAAATTTGACGAAAACTTGGGGACTGCGCCTACCTGATGAGCCCCAAGAAGAGCAAAACCGGTCGTGGGTTGTCGGAGATTTTTCAGCAACCTTGTGAGTAGTTTCCTTTATAAAAACATGCTGCGATATCTCGAAGATCCTGCAGCGGCCTGTGTGCAGCACATTCAGTTGTAGAATATCATACACGAGAGATTCAGTTGAGTCGCTCGTGAAAACCAAATTGACTAGCTAAGGTTCTTTTTTCGGTTCCCGTTAGTAGCACGGATAATGCCCACCGTCTAGGCGCTTTTAGATCAAATAAGTTGTAAAATCCAGTTGGTTTCCCACACTTCTGAGTAATAAATGCGGTGGAGTGAGGGACTTGATGTCCCGAACCGATGTAGTGCTCTCAGAAGGAAGTAGGATCACTGCTTCAGTGAAGGCGGAAATAGTGATAGTCCGGAGGAAACATTCCTCTTTTCGCACACTGATGTAGCAGCTCATAGTGTGATGTTGCTTCATACCGCCTCGTAAAATGAGTTATGAAGAGTAGTGTGAGCGGATTATCTATGCATCAAACATCGCATGGGTTGGACTACTCCCTGACTCAGAGATGGGTTTAGCCTAATTCTCTGTTTACACATAAAAGATAAGACAAGGCAAGTGAGTTCTTATATTAACCTTTGCTGGCGAATTTTCAGATAAAACCGTTTTACCGTGATAAGAAGACGGAAATAACAAACAATTACCTGAGAGATGAAACCTTGGGAGTGATTCGTCTAAAAGATTATGTTACCAAACTTGGTAGATTGAAACTGCTGCTGAAATTCGCAAGAACCCCATCGGTGTCGACATGTGACCGATACTCTCTCCCTCGAAACCTCCAAGAAAAACCGCCTGATTCACTGGCTGATTAGAAGTATTAACCACTGGAGGGCCTGCGAGTGAACCATACTCTACTGGGTTCAAAAAAAGCCCATTTGGATACACACTGGGTCATACACAGGACTGAGCCCCTTTGTTGATATGGGTCGTTGTTCTTACAACAGCTGAAGGGTACCATGGTGCATATGCATGGAGATGTTCTGTGGCCTACGCTTCCCGACAGTGAGCGAATAAAATGCGCATTACACAACGTGGGTAGCGTCAAACTGTATCGTTAAACAATGTACAGACCAACTATTGTGACTTGGATGAAACTGAGTTGTTTAGGCATTTGCGAACCATCAATATTCCGTACTTTGTCCTCGTTTCAGTTAAGTTCACGTAATGAAAGTAGTATCTTGGGCATTCGTTTTTTTAGTGTTGAGAAGAAGGCAGCCTAAATAGTCTAGTAGCGACCCAAGGGTAGTCCGGAATCCGGCCAATCGGATGTTTGTTCTCAGAGCGTATACTTTGAAATATCTAATAGCGACTCTATAAAACTGCAAGAGTTGACAAGCCACATTTGAGAGAGGACAAGTGTCTGAGAAAGACATCTTCCTGTTTTTCCATTCTTACGTACAACCTTCCTACCACCCGACAGAATTAACTGTTTTCCTGTCACCTCAGAGACATGTCTTTAGAGGTAGCAAGACCTTTTCGTTGGTATACTGAATAATATCGCATATGTTCTGAAATTTCAATGAATGTCAAGCATTTTTACGTTTGTTTCGAATTTGTCAAGGAAAATTCTTGAGGACACTCAATCGTCTCGCCAAATTCACATCCGTCTACTGTACTCGTTCCAAGTACAGTCGGCTAGAAATCCCATCTACTCAAGTCACTTCCTTGTTGGTCCTATTCATTCGAGCAACAATCCTGCGCTTTATCTATTGGCTAAGTTTCCAGACAACATTAAAAGTTTTCGGAATATCCAAATCGAAATTTCGCCAGCAGTGAAGTTAACTTATGCCAAAAAGCACAGCAGCTATATTCATCGATTACACTCTTATTTGCAATCATCAGCAGTGCGAACCACCAAGTAGATTGGAACTCGCGATCTGCCCAGTAGTAGTTCAAGGCTAAACAGTTCGACCACCAGCGCCTGACCAGCAGTGAGACTAACTCACTCGTAGACAGAATATAGCGCCATTCATGCTTCAGTCACAAAATTCACATCACGTGGTCGCGTGGCACAATATTCTACCTAACTGGAAGTCAACCTCACTGCTGACCGGTCGTTCATCGCCAAATGGTCTAGTCTTTGATTCAATCCCAATCTCTGATGATATTCATCAGATTTAAGCCACTGATACTTCCCGATAAGGATTGAACGACTGTAAAAAATTTACTCGGCTTTTCGACAGAGACTCATGAAATCTCTATCGATAAAGTGTAATTAGAGAAATTTTCTTATTCCACGTTAAGTATGACTGCTCTATAACATTATGGACGACATAGCTGTTGCTTAGTAGAAAGTTAAAACAGATGAGTGAAAGGCTTTATGTGGCCTGTGTTTAGTTGGTTATATGCCGACACCAATATCAAGTGGTTGTTAACCAACTGACGTGTATTCAACGATTGCTTATCCGAATTGAGCAATGAAGAATGTTGGGATGGACAACTATAATGAAAACGCAACAAAATTCATGAGTGCATTTTTTGAAGGAACACTAATTATAAGGCTCATGAAAACTCGCAAGTCCACGACCGGTTTCACCCTTCTTTTGACTCATCAGGTAGGCGCATTCAGTTGAAGAATATCGTAAACGAGATATTCAGCCGCGTTTCGGCCGACTCTCTCGCTTAAACCGAAGTTTTTTGCATATGAAATTATTTCGCACGGGTACATTCTTCATCTAGTCCATGGTATTCTCGTCCAACGACGCTGAACTCCAAATAAAGTAGTGTGGATTATTGAATTTTGTTTCTAAAGTGTTTGTGGCTGGGCAACGTTTCGCTTTTGAAAAAAGGTTTCACCAGTCTGTTGGAATGGGCCAATTTCACGCGCTCCACTCGGTCGCATAAGTGGAACTCGAAGAACAGAATGTTACAGATTCATTGAGTCTTACATCCTCAAACTCATCACATTTACTTACGTGTGATTTAACGGGTACTACATAAGGAGTTACGTATCGGAAGCATATAGACCAACTGACGAACTCGCTTTTTTCACTCACTATATTACTTGCCGAGCTGGTCCTGACAAATGTCAACCTATCCAAGGTGAACTCAGCTCAGTTTCAATCAGTCAAACTCCACGATTTCCGCCCACATTACGATAACAGCAGGTGCCCGACAGACGTCCATCTCCAAATAACCGGCAGTGCCCAGCCTGTTGAAACAGTAACAAAAACAGACAAATGTCAGTTGACGATTGGTCGATAGCAATTGTATTGGTTGCCCTCTGTCGGGGCAGATAAACCCAACTTGTTCGTTTCTCACCATGTCATAGACTTCTGTTCGGTTTTAGTATGCGCGGAAACCTACTTCTGTGTCTGATTTAGCATCCCACGCACAAGCGCGTCTGTCACTTAAATTTAGTCCTAATCTCTCTGCAGCACAGGCTCCGAGGACGCGCTTGCTCTTTCTTTCTGTCTCTCTGTTTGGTCGTTTTAATCTAACGCTGCCTGTCTTGCCACTTTTTCTTTTATGTGGTAAGTAGATGTGCGCGTAATTACTCGCATGTGTTCATTCACAACGTAGTTTGCGCATCGAGCATTTGATCTCCTGTGTAAATTATAGCACGGGCGTTTCGTGTTCTGTTTGTTTGTATGCATTCGTATGTATGTTCGTAAGTGGGTGTGTTTGTTCGCTACATAGATGTGGGATGTCCGTACGTTAAAAACGTGCCACATTCATTGCTTATGTGGTTGACAGTCAGTCAGGCAAACAACCAGTCAGTCAACCAAGCTCTCTATCTATCTCCTTCGCATGTGAATTTATGAGTGCATACGTGCGTGCGTATATGCGCTTCAATGTGTTTGTCTATTCAATTCATGTGCAAATTGCTGTTCTGACCAACCCTCTCTCATTCTATGCTTAAGGCTACGACGCGAAAACTGTCCGCGCCCGGTCATTATCATCAACAGCAGCGGCTTGCACGTGCTTTGTTTGGGACTACCTACACAACGCATTACAGTTAACCGGCGCTTCCGGGATCCATTTTTACAAACATACTATCAGGAACACTAGCCAAGCAATCGATCGTCGAACGGCATATCGGTGCAGACACGCGTGACAGATCCCTATAGTTACTTCGTCAGCTCAAATCTGTGTCCCCTGTGACCTTTGTGTAAAACGCCTTCTAGACTACGATCACTTAGTGGAATTTACAGTCAAGCCTATCTTACTCTGGAATTATGCTGCCGCTGAGTAGGGTAAGCAAAGACCAGATTATATCCTTTACCTAGTTTACTTATGTTGGTCTTATTTTGGTTTCCACTAGGCGAGTAAATCCACAAGATAAGGCGTTTCTCTTCTCCCATAAGATCGAAAGTGTACGGTTTCACTCTCTTATGTGGGTTGAGAATTCAACAGATAACTACCCTCTACCATGGGATTGCTTACACACTTAGTAAACAACAGAAAATGCTTGATGGTTGTTTCGATAAACCATGCCAGTTCCTCGGACTTTTAACAGTAAGGTTCAGCAACAGATAAACACAATCTGCAGAACAAAATCAGAGCAGAATAACTGAACGTCATGATATCGAAAGCATGCGCTCGCAAACGTTCCTGTCTGATTTTCTGCTGCTGTGATCGATAATCTTGTCAACAGCTGATTGGTCAAGGGACGACCGAAACCGCTGATCGGCTATGCATGTAGGTACGGGAGAGTTTATGGAAAATAGAACAAACTAGCTCGTGGTTATCATTTTTCGGGATTCCACGAAGACGAGGTCAAGGCCCTTGTTGAGTAGGCACAGTCGTTCTAATGAAAAGTGCTTTTTGAATTACTGCGATTTTCCGATCAACTTGGGGTCGATGTAAAAAAAGTGTTCTAGATCGACGAAGATCACTATTAGAACCAGTGTTCATACCTTCTTCATTGATGCTCAACAGACTGCAATAGTGACCAATAACTATGAACATTGCATCCATTAGCTGGACACAAGCTATTCGACATATGATCTGGCTGAAAGAATCCACATCTCTACACTCTCAAGATGTGTGTGCTTCATCTCACGTCTTGCTGTTTTGTTCGAGCATCTCAATTAGATAGAATCCCTATTTTAGACGAATCAATTTCAAAGGAGAATGTGTTTTTAACTCAAAATCTACTGAGTAAATTACAGAAAAACGGTAAAGGTTTATCGTGACCGTTTTTATCAACAGCTTACCCTATTCCCCTCAGACAGCTCGCTGCATAGACTGGCGAGGTGTTATCCGGCCGGTTCGCGGTCGATGATACTCCAGCATACCCGTTTCGGTTACCATGGTAGCGGCAATTTCATACCCTGTCTATCGACCCACATCGTCGCGTGACTCATTGCGCGTCCCGTGAAACTATCACAGTTTCGTGGTAAGGTTAAGACGCATCACAGATTCGCGCCTTATGCAGAGGTGATTGGTTGGTTGTATGGATGTAACCTACGAAATCTAATTTTGCTGAATGTTCGGTAACGTAAGCGGTCATAACAATCCCGCAACCAAAGAGGATCCTCATTTAAGTTTGAACAGTTCCGGAATGAACCGCCAAGTTTTCGTTTGCTTTGGAATGCATAGCTATCAATAAGCCCTACACACGAATTTTACAACTCCACTATTTCACGAAATAAACTTTGGGGATGAAAATTTTATCTGTATCTGTACACACGCTTAGAACATGTACTGTTTAATGAAGTGAACTTACGGGTCACTAAGCATGTTCAACTATTCAGAATTATTTCGATTTTGCAATTTTCCAACGCAGATTAATACCTGTTAGGTTGGAAATGCTACGTTCGGAGTGTTAGTGAGGAACGACAAATGTCCACCCGTGTAAGTAACTACAAGACAAATAAGTAATCCAGAGAGAATGTAGGGTTGAACTAAGCTGTACCCCTCAGGACACCGTGCTGGGCAACCGATCACACAAAGGGAAATTCCTTGAGATCATATTGATCAAGCAACTCGACTTAATGTTGTTTCCGAATGTTCTTAGAGGTTACACTGAGGCTGTATGGTTTTTTTCATTGCTCACATTGTTTCTGAAATGATAGCACCAATGTTATTAGGGCTGATTCATCTCAATTCGTTCCGTTTTACACGCATCGTGGCAGCTGCGTGTACGAGGTTAATCCATCTAGCAGTACCATCTCCCTCATCACCTTATTGCCCAAAATGATCACAATATAGTGTATCAATCCTGCGTCTTCTCACAAAGACGCGATAAGTTTAGAAATTTTCGCGCACTCAAGTTTAACACCGTCCCTAGAACATGTACCACCAGGTTAAGCAAGACTTATATGCGATTCAAAAGTAGTCAAGAAGTATGGTGGTAACTCACCCTGTTCCCCGTCGGAAACACTTGTATGTTGTGGAAGCGCTAAAGGTCTCAAACGTGTCAGGCTCAAGCAAAGTGTTTCCGTCGCAGTCAGTCCTACATGGAAGATGGGGAGTTGGATGACCTGGAAAAATGGTTTGATCAGCATTGGTCACATGGTCGGTGAGGTTTACTTCTCTGGTTTCAAGATGGTACTACGAACAATTTCTCTGCTTCAAATACATCTGCATCAAAACATGGGAACCACTGGAGTAATAAATGTAGACTTTCAGTTCTGATGAGGAAATTGTCGAAATCATTGTCAGCTGAGCCTGATGCGTCGTCAGCATTGGATACCGAACACTATTGCATGAACATAGTTCAGCTTACCGTGTAAGAGTTCTGGAATAGTTCAGCATCAGTCAGGAAATGTGACATGATTGGTTCCAGTGCTACATTTATGGTTTACATTATTCCCATGAGAACTGTTTATGCTCGAGTGTATACTGCTGGCAGCACTAGTGTTGACTTTAAATTGTTCTTCGTGGATTCCGACAACCTATATATACTGCTTACAGTATAGTAGTATAGCATACTGCTGTAAAAATTGAACCGATCGATAAAGTGGAAAGGAAAGAATATCAACCCGATAATCAATAGGGATTGAGATGGCCTAAGTGGTTAGAGCGCCAATTTACTGACCGGAAGGTCCGTGGTTCGAATCCGACCTCCGCCTCTCGACTTCCCCTGTCTAGGCTTGGGCAACCTGGCAGTATCCCAGCCCTCGTGCTTCCTTCGGGTGGCATTGCAACTAGGCACCGGAAGGGTGCTACAGCTGAACGTTTCCTTTCTTTTTCCATAGATGTTCCATGGACGTCTCAACAGATTCTCGCATTTGATTTTATTGGATAATTTTATTAAAATAGGTGTCATGATTTCTGAATACGGACCATCGTGCAGTCAAATTAGATATAAAGTCCGTGCAAGGACAAAATTTAGGAGGCATTTTCTTGGGAATTGAATGGAAAGCAAGTGGTCATTCGGTAATCAAAGGCTAAGGAAATGACAATTCGTAGGTAAGGCAGTCTAACCTTCTAACTGTGATAGCCAGTATGATTTCTCCAAAAGGAATTGCTCTAACAGCGGGAACAGAGGGGCTGAAATGAACAGCAAGGTGAGATAAACACTAGAAATGACAACGAATGTTGTGCACGGAAGCGGGAGTACTATACAGATTGTGATTCCGGCAAGCTCAGTGGACAGGGAAAATTTCGTAGAGAAAAGATGTGGTCCATCATATGTCATAAGTAATCCCGGAACTCATGGAACGCGGTGGTAAATCTTGTCAGTTCACAAATGCCCCCGTTCTGCAATCCCGAGCACATGAACTTTTTGTCCGAGTATTTTGAGCCGTTGTGTCAGCATTTAGTGTTAGTTTGGAGCTCTGCTGCCTTGGCAACGCAAACCTCTTTCTATTCACCTGTAAGGGTGTGATCACCATTTGATCGGGTCATGTGCCACAAGGGAATCCTGTAGACTATTTATTTCTCTGGAATGAGACACAATTTTAAAAATAAAAGGAATGATACTTATATGGAACCACCTCATAGTATAGTTTTGTGTGGTAACTGTTTGTCTCAGTGCTGTATAAGTGAGTTAAACTAAATAACGGTAATGTTGGAATTGCATGAATTGAATGCTTACTCCACTAAGAAGCAGAAGAATATCGATTCACATTTTGAATGAAATTCCTAGAAATGTGTTCTGGTTTCACAAGCGTGGATGGAGTTTCGACAGCCAGGCATTATTGACACCAGAACACTGACAGGATGAACTATTCATGCATTGTCTGTTTCAAGTCGACTTGGTGCTAATAGGAGATTCACCTAAAGCTCACCCGAAACCCTCATTTATAATATAATTGAACCGAATCGACTCAGGTTTTAGTTGAGTGTTCAGGTATGAGAGAAGACTGATGGAATTTCGGCTAGACTCACCTGATGAAGCACAAGAGGCACGGGGCCATTAACGAGCTCTTTAGGCCTTTCCTTGACTTTATGAGCAGCGTCATGTGAATGAAACTTGCCAGTAACAATTTATCTTTTCGGGAAACGTTGAAAAACACGCGCGCGAATAAAATAAGAGGACGACCAGGTGATCCACTAATCTCACTGTGACAGTTGGGAGGGGCACACAACTTCGAAAACAGGAAAATCTCAGCATGCTGGGATACAGGACAATCGAAGGGAATTGGAGAGGCTAAGCTCAAGGTTCATGTGGACATCGACTAGTAAGCACAAAGTTCAGCGTTCCAATCAACAAAACTACCCCCGGAAACGGCCAATCACAATCGAAGGTCAGGCCCGGTCAGCCGTTCGCTCAGGGACGCATGCACAACATGCTCAGCATAAAAGCGTGCACTGTCGTAAAGCTCCCTTCCGCCGAACAAGGATTCTCTGGTGATAGCCTTTCTATTGGTGATGGAAAGTTTACCCGGCATAGCGAATAAACAAAACGTTCAGTTCCAGGCTTGTTGTGATTATGTCGATCAGCTAAGCTACAGCATTAACTGACATTTACATTGTGTGCCGCGATGCCACCAGAGTCCATAAAAACGAGTTAGTGTATTTATACACTACACGAATGCTTGCAGCTAAAGATAAAATTCTCGCCTATCATTATTTGGTGGTTAGACGACAGTTTGGGGAAAGACATCGCGGACAAGTTGAAATGTTTGACACGGATCACTCATCAGTTCATGAACAATATGATGGTGGATGTATTTTCGGGTGTTTAGGTGTTAACACTATACAACTTTTTTATATTGGAACCTATTTCCACATGGTTTTTTGAGCTTTGGAGCCGTCTTTTCTCTTAAAGTCAGCTGTCGTCCGAGTTACTACCATCGCCCAG